GTACACTGCTCTGTATGAATGGGTGTGAATGGGTGAACGACATGTAGTATGTAAAGCGCTTTGAGGGGTCTTAAAGACTGGATAAAGCGCTATATAAGTACAGTCCATTTACCATTTACCATTTAGTCCCCCTAAGGACTTTATTTATTAAATGGGCTGCTCAAGATTCTGTACAACATGTCTGATCACCATAATAGAGCTCATTTGTATTGTTTTTTGTTCTGAAAATGACAATTTACGACATTAAATCCCAATACAAACTGTCACTATAGAGAGTAAACCCTGTGTAAAGCTGTGACACAACATTTGCTCTCTCCTTCTTCAGCCTACGCCAACATCCAAGTTTCTTCAAGGCTATGTAGGAGCTGTGACCAGCGCTGTCTCTATTGCAGTATGTGTTTCTCCCTCTTAAATCCTGAGAAAAATGTATTTGAAAAGGGTCTTTTTGGTGAATTTGACCTGCACATTCATGTCATGAGCTGCTTTTGAATGTGCACCATAGTTGTTATTACATTGCTGGCTATATTTTATACAGAGTATCATTAACAGTGCTGGTAATATACAGTAAGCTTTTTGAATAGAGTTAGCTGTACAGTTCAAGTACTAATGCTAATGTTTGGCTAGAGTAAAGTCCATATACTAATGCTACTTATGCGAAAACAAAGGACCAGTTTGCTGTAAATGAGATTTTAAAGTGTGTTTCATAGATTGTATAAGGTGAACCTGATTTGTGTTTTTATATGAACTGTTGTAGGTGGGACTGAATGTTCTGATTAAGAAGGCCAACAGGCTGAGTCCTGCCACCAGGATGATCATTCAGAGGCTCGTCCCCTTCCCAGCTGTAGGTGGGTTTCCAAAGGACTCTCTGTACCATTTATATTCGGGGGTAATTATTAATTTAAATTCCATCCAAGACTTAATTTGTTAGAAATTAGTAAATAAGTTATAAATCCAAAAATGCAAGCTTATTATAATTCTTACTGCAATGGATTTCTCAATTTCACCAAGACTAGTCCGGCTCAAAATTAAGGTATTTATAAAGGAGTTTCTTCTTTGGATCCATGACTACATTTCCTGTCTACAGCATATGTTTTTGTGTACATTTATTATCATAAAAGTGGCCTTTCTCACCTGTCCTCAGCCAGTGCAAACATCTGTAATGTGGGCCTGATGAGACACAACGAGCTATCTGAAGGCATTGATGTGTTGGACAACAATGGCAAAGTGGTGGGATCCTCAAAGATTGCTGCAAGACATGTGAGTTTTTTTTTTGTTGCACACTACTCTTCTGCACTGAATATGTTCTGCTGGTTTATTCCCATGAATTGCAAATGTGCTGGTGGCTGATAATGGGAAAACTCATAATTTCATGCACGGATCCTGTCACTCAGCACCTATTTTATACAGTCTATCTTCAGCACACATCTGATTTCATGAAATTAAATCTAACTCATTTGCAGAATTTGAAATGAAGCGTGTACACAATGTTCTCATATTTACCCCAGGCGATCACGGAGACCGCCTTCACACGTGTGGTCCTCCCGATGCCAATCTTCATCCTGCCCCCCATCATCATGTCCTACCTAGAGAGGTCTGTACAGACATTATGTGGTTGGATTTGTTACTAGGGTTGCAATTAACAATTCAATTGGGTATTGGTTAATCTAATGATGAATTGATTTTTGTTCTGCTTTTTACTTATCCTATTACCCACAAATCTATTTCGTGCCAATTCCAACATCATCCAATATCTTTGCCAGAATGCAAACCAGCTTCAAACAACACTATTAAGTCAAAGATAGCATGTGACTTAGTAAAGATCTTTTTTGTCTTAAAATGTCTTTCCTACCTGTTTCCTGTAGCTGAAATAAACTATTTTGATGATAGTTATTCCGTTTTGCAATCCCTCACAAATGAGGCAGGCAGTATGTATTGTTTCTATGACAAAAAGTAACAGCAGCAGCTGAACTAGTCCTGCTAAAAGATGACTTGCTTAGTTAAGAAGAGTAGGAGCTGTATCAACTATCACAGCCACTGACACAATACAGCTATTTTTTTCCTACATCTGTAAGATTTGCCAGAGGCATAGTGAAAAAATAATCTGCGTATAAGTCCTTACATTTACAAGATCATTCATCTCTTTCCCAGCTAGCTTGCATCTTCTTTCTCAGCCTGCCTTTAGTTATTGCTCATCTAAAAACCTATCTCTTAATATCAGTACTGAGCCAGGCCCGCCATATGTTGTGCCCTAAAGTGCTTTCCATATACTCATTCAATAGTAGGTCACAGCCTGAGAAAATATAATAATACAGCCAATTGTTTTGAAGCACAAAAAGACTGAATCAAAATACACTTCTTGTTTCTTTTGTTATACATACAAAAGAGCTTTTCTACAGTCTGACTCGGTAAACCCAGGACTGGAACGTTCTCACAGACAGATTCATCTCCCACCCACTAATTGTGGAAAATAGCACCCCTAAATCTGCACATGCTGTCTTTTTCTCCGGATCCAAAAATAACTCCTGGCTTGGCAGTAGTCATCTGTGATCGATCCACACAGCAGGCTCACATATCCTTTTATCACTGTCTCTTGACTCTGGTAGGCTGCGATTCCTGCAGAGAAACCGCAGATTGTTGCTGCCCGTCCACAGCCTCGTGTGCCTGCTCACCTTCAGCCTCTCGCTGCCTCTGGCCATCAGCCTGTTCCCCCAGATGTCTCAGGTACAGTACAACGCCGCTTCAACTGCTTCTACTGTCAAGGCCAGATGGCTCACAGAGAGAAAGAGAGGAGAAAAGAGAGCAGCTGGCGAAATTCTAATTACACATACACCACTTGACATGCACTAGTTTCACCTCTCATTCCAGATGTCTCTTCCCACGTTTGATTAAGAGTCAAAATGAATGTTTAAAGCTTTAAGACAAAGAAATGTAGAGCTACAATTTTTACCTTCAGTCTGATTGTTTATCTTGCAGATTGAAGTGTCTTGCCTGGAGCCGGAGATCGCTATGGCAACAGATTGCAAGATGGTGACCTACAACAAGGGTCTATGATGGCTGGCGTGGAGCAGGAGAAGAGATCAGAGGAGGAGGCTGCACGGTGAAGAGCTGTCAGGGAGAGCCTCGGCTGGGTTCCTCCTGACGACAGCTGAGGGGATGCTTCTGCTGCAGTATCATAGCTGAGTGTGTATATCATGGTGTACTAACCCAGGTTTTATTTTCTAATTTTTGTAACCTTTACCAAGATCCTAGTCAATGTGTACACATTGGGACATATTCCCTTTATCCTTGCTGTTTTTAAGAGAATAGAAGAAGCTCTGTATATAGAAATAATGATATATTTACGGTAAATCTGTTTTTTTTAGCATTAATGAAATTATTTTAATATATAGAATACAGTGTTTTCCACACACAGGCTATACTCTGTTGCCCACTCATCCAATGAAAACAAAGGTGTTATAAATGCAGTTTAAACCTGCAAAAAATGACTCTCTTCATTGCTGCTAAATGTTTCCCATGTTCAGCAAAGCCTTTATACCTTTACCCTTTATTTAGAGGCATCTTTAGGGACAGACACAGGATTTCTGAGGCACACAAGACATACAAGCTGACATTTATTTCTTTACATAAAAACATTTCTGTCGTCTCACAAACATTTCCAGTGAAGAAAGATGATTGAAGAAGATTTTTACTGAGCGGTTGTAAAAAAAACCTCATCGGTGCGCTCTGCTGCACATTTTCATTTGTCATGGGTAATGGAATATATCTTTGTCTTTCCTGGCAAAATACACTGACCCTGATATATCTGCAATACACTAATATTGGCACAGTTGATTTATCACTCAGGCTATTTATCACTCTGCTGTATTATCGTGACAGAGACAAAGTATATTGTTGACATGTGGGAAACACTGAAATAGATGTCAAAATAAAAGTCTTAGTTATCTCTCGGGAACAAGTCTATTTATCATGTGATGGTAGAGAAACTCTGCAATAACAGTCACTAGGGGACAATAAGAAGCCACTCTGTGCTGTATATGTCTGTGGAAAAATGCAGATACTGTACTGTAGATGTTTATTAGTTACACTGTTTAATCCAATAATGTGAAATAACAAACACTATTCTACTGTCTAGATTTTGTTTTGTATAACAGCCAAATCCTTCTTTCCTAACTTTGTAGGACGGACATTTTACATATTGATTCTTTCTTAACCCACTGCTGTATTCCTAACGACTTCTTTTGTACAATATTTGAAACATAAAACGTACGAGCTAATATATTGTACTACTGATCATGAACTAGTATTTTTAATTATTTGTAAAATACTTATACTACATGTTTATTATATGTTTGTTAGACAAAACACTGTAAAACATCTATCTATAGTATCAATAAAATATACAATAAATACTCTTTTCTCCATTTACTTTATTCTGTGAAGAATTTATTTCCAGACTTTATTTAAGTATATGTGCCGTATCCTTTTTAGATAAATACATCTCTGCTAAGGCATCACATCTGTAAATATTTATTGGATATATTGAATATAGTTATATTCTAATATATCCTGTCCTATCCTGAAAAACAAATTCAAAATCTTAGTGATAGTATACATTAAAATTAAATGGTGCATGTCATGAGTCATTGTAAATTCACAGTTCTCTTTCCACTCTCTCAAACATCCAAGACTGCACCAATATCTCCATGAGTTATTTAATGTGTAAGCAAATGGTGTGTTTTTTTAAGTTGTATGTGTTATTTTATGATATTAATGTATTTTAACCTGAACATGTACAGTGTCTTTACGCAACTTCTAATATCGCACTATACATTAAATGTGTTAGTATTTAATTATACCAAAATATGTGTACTTATGCTAACTTTAGTCACCTACAATAAAGCAATGAGTTCCCAGTGTTGAGCAGTGACACACCTGCAGTTCGCATGCTGACCACCAGAGGTCGCTGCTGCTTCGCGCGGAGATAAATCGTCAGTGTCAGAGTTGAAAGGGGAAAGGTTGTCAGCAACATGGCTGCTCCCCTGGATGACATGTTTTCCTTCTGCGTGGACCCCGGCAAAGTCTCTGCCTGCGTGGATGTGAGATTTATAGACAATATCAAGGTAAAGCGGTGCAGAGTTTGTCAGATTAAAACGATTTAGAGAGATCCGGAGTTTGAATCGGCTCTGTGGCTGAGGTGTGGTGGACGCGTGTCGGCTGAGAGGGAGCATCACAGCCCGGCAGAGCAGACCTGCAGGGCTCAGGGAGAACTGAAGGAAAACATGTGGTTTATAAAACGTTTTCTGATCATTAGAGATCTGTATGTGTCTAAAACTATCAGTTATGTGCTGATTTGTACGTTAAGGGTGTCGATTTTAACCAGTAAATGTGAAATCAAAGGGACAACATCAACCGTTTTACACTATTATACTTAATAGGGTGCGATGCAAAGCAAGTAACTTAGTTGCATTGTTGAAGGAGAGTACTCAGTTCCTTTACTAAAGTAAAAGTACAAATGCTGTGGTCCTGAAATACTACATTACAAGTAAAAGTACAACAAGTACTCATTCTGCACAATGGCCCATTTCAGAATGATTTAAGGTACATATATCTTATCAGCTAAATGGACTTAAAGTATAAAGTAAAAGGACTGGATCTTTTTACTTTTTTATTTTAAAATGTTTATATTGTCCTGTTTTTATCAATAACAAATACATGTAAGAACATTTCACTATCGTAGTTTGTCAATGTGGAGCCAATTTAAGAGATAAGATAAGTGATGTGTTTTAATATATGAGAAAGTAAATAGTAACTACTAACTATAAGTGTTGTACATGTAGGGAAGTAAATAATAAAGTAGCATTTTAAATAGAAATATTTGTACCACTTACGGTTTTCAAACACTGGTGAAAATCGTACAACAGTCATATTTTGTTGTGTCTCTTTCAGGGCAAGGGTCTCTTCGCCAAACAGAGTATCAAGAAGGGAGATGCCATCTTTCTGGAGCGGCCACTCGTCTCTGCCCAGTTCCTGTGGAATTCTCAGTACAAATATAGAGGTGAGATCTGGACTGTATTTAAAAACACACAAACAGTTTAGTGAAATGACAACATATTAATTTACATAAATACAAGACCTTTGTTTTGGTGCATAACAAAAAACTAGTATGGACAAGAAAAGATAACAAAACATAAAAGTGGTGTTCATTGTAGAGTTTATCTTCACAATGAACGTATCATAACCATTTGTTCGCCACTTGCTATTTGTTTTGTCTAGAATATCGAAAATCCATTGGAGAAATATCATTGGGCTTTTTGTCAAGGGAACCCGTGCAATGCTAGCTTCGTGGTTGGCCTACAAAAATAGTTCATGGACTTTTTAACTGCATCTTGCACCAATAAAGAAGCACTGAAACATTGCATTAATAATAATATAGTATAGATAGTCCATACAGTGATGACAAAATCATGAATGTTTTATCAGACTTGACTAATACTGGTTAACTGGAGGTTATTGATCTAGAATGAATATTTAAAGACCCTAAACTAACCGGGTCTCCAGTAATGTTTGTCTCTCTAGGCCAGTGGTTCTCAAAGTGGGGGGCGCGCCCCCCCAGGGGGGCGCAGAGGCATGACAGGGGGGGCGCGAGAGACCAGGGGGGGAAATGGTTATTAAAAAAAAAAAAGATAAAAAAATAATAATCATATTTTGAAAAATTATTGATTGAAAATAATATAATACAGTACTATTACGTCTGGTTCTCTGTGTTTCATTAAAGCTCGGCTCTGTGTGTGTGTGTGGAACGAGCCATTTTGTGTGCTACACTCATAGAGAGAGAGAGAGCGCACCGGTACCGGAGATCGTAGTTGTTAGCTTCTGGTGCTAGCGAGCCACGCTAACGGATATACTGTAAGGAGTTTTTTCAACAACAAAGTGGAGGAGAGTCCTCTCCTGTCAGACTGAGAGACTCAGTGAGCTAAAGGACTCTCAGTGTTATCTCAGTGGGTCTCAAACGTTTTGGTCACCATTAATGTAAACAATTATTTCCGAGGCACACGTTTATATGATCATTATAGTTATAAAAAAATAAGAGAATAAATTAAAAACAGGTATGAAATACTATATGACAGTAAAAAAAGAATAAAGTTTAAAAGGGGAGTGATTTGTAAAATATCCATAAAGAAATAGTAAATCTGTTTCCAGTTCTGTTTCAAATGGGTGTTGAGAGATGTCCATAGATCTCTTCATTTTGCTCTCAAAGTGCACCAGATTGATGCTTTTAACTTCAATATTTAAAAATCTTCCCGGGGGAGCTTGCCCCCGGACCCCCCCTATGTGAGGTCCACACACCACCTATAAAAATAGCACTTTACCCCTGCTTACACCTATATGCCGTGAGCTGATTATCGAGCCTTCATTGTAACTGTCGCGGGTACACTGTGTATATGCGTGTGGGGAATGTTGCAGTAGAAAATTCCTCTGTAGCGCCCGGTACATTAATGGGAAACCCTAAATGTTTGAGCCCCCTCTATGAAACGTCAAGCTACCCCACAGCACCCCAAAATAAATCTCTGGCGCCGCCACTGAGCCTGACTATTTGTGTTGGGGGAGCCCGACTTTTTTTTTTCGCCAAAGGGGGGGCCTGACAGAAAAAGTTTGAGAACCACTGCTCTAGGCTAATCCACTATTCTTTTTTAGCCTGTGAGTACTGCTTACGTGCTCTGGAGAGTGCAGAGGAGAATGCGAGGAGACTCAGCGGCATCCCAGGACTCAGCCTCCCTCACCCTGAGCTCTGCAGGGTGCGACCGGAGAGGCACCAAGCCTGCCCGCAGTGCCAGGTGAGGCCAAACAGAAGATGGGTTGTATTGATTTAATGGACGTTGATGATAAGCCTCAATCTTTTTCTGTGGAAGTTGTCGTTTATTGCTCACTGGAGGAATATGCCCTGAAAAAGTTCAGATCAATATAAAACTTTGAAGACCTCTGTGGTTATGGAGGAACTTCCTCTGCGTCGATGGTGGGCGACACGACTAGCTGATCGATTTTAAGAGGCCAGTATTGGTACTACGGATCAGTAAGCTAATCTGTCTGCTTCTTTTTTTTTTAAACCAAAGGGGAACACTGTTTATGCTTGGTGGTTTCTTGTATTCACAGTATTGCATATCTGTAGGCCACATGTAAATAAGTTAAAGGGGACCTGTCATGTAAAATGCACTTTTTTATGTCTTTTATACATAAATATGTGTCCCCGGTGTGTCGGGGAACTCACGCAGCGTCAGAAAATAAAACCCTCTCTCTTTTCCTCCGTACCCAAATCTCTAAAAACGTGGGCTACAACGGAGCTGATCCAGATTTGCGTCCGATATGACATAATATCTGAAATGTAGGCTGGCTTTACACCCACGGCCCTATCAGAAACGTTGCTATCAGAAACAATGCCCGACTGTTTTGGACGTAATATGGTCGGTTTATGTTTACATTAGCATCGCTAACACTCAGAGCTAACCTGTACTGGAGAGCATGTGTGTGAAGAAGCAGGAAATAAAAAGGAACTCATCTTGTGGTATAACCGGCAAGAGAGAAAGCCTTTGAGCTCCATACTGTTTCAGAAATAATCCTTGATAATCCATGATATGGCGTTTCATCACCGCAGTATCTGCTGGTAGCATCTCCCGCATGAGCTCAGCCCCCTCCTTTTTTTTATCAATTTTTTTTTTTTTTAAAGCATTATATGGGGTATAAATCAGCACTTTTGAAACAGGAAGTGAAATAGCGGGATATGAGGCATGGCTAGAATGGGTGATCTGTTTGGTATTTTGAGCAAAACACTTCATAGACATGTTTATTTTAATATTTTTGATATATCTGAGACCTATGCTATTGCCTAAAAATAGCATGATAGGTCCACTTTAAGTTTAAACTGCCACAGAGCAAACTTCATTTTATTTAATGGTTTTCAGATTAGGGTTCCTGAAGCTAATACTAATTACCTTATTTCTACACCTCATTTTCAAAAGCTAGTTAAAACGTGTTGCATAGCACTATATGTTAAATGATTAAAACATTCAAGTAATTAAGATTTAGAAAACAAGAGCAATTAAATAGATAATAAAAAGAAAGGAAATGCAGTCAAAGCACAGAATAAATTAATTTAGGAGAATGCTACTTTATAATAATTATTTATAATATTTTTAAATGTAAGTCTATTTTCCTCACTTTATCTGCACTACCTGCTGTTGCAATAATGTACAATTCCCCGTTGCAATAATGTACAATTCCCCGTTGCAATAATGTACAATTCCCCGTTGCGGGAGAAATAAAGAATTTCTGATTTGTTTATAGAATACATTTAAATATACAACATGGTTATGGCTATGTGCTGTGAGGGGAGTTCTTTCAAAACATTTAAAAATGGATAGAGGTGTCCCAGCAAATGTCTTTATTTTGTGATAAGAAATTATATTTTAAATCTTTCCTCAATTTACGACAACAAAAGTTATTTTGTACTTGAATTAATTCCAGGTAAAAAGCCTTTTAGGTTGAACAATGCATTGTAATTAGTCATTTTTAAAAAAGTAAAAAAAAATGCCTTCTTTGTACATAATCTTGTAGGGGTTTGTTTATTTGTAATTATTCAGTTTTCATTTCATTTCATTTCAAACCTTTATTTATACAGATAAATCCCATTGAGATCATTGATCTCTTTTTCAAGGGAGACCTGCTCAAGTAGTTCCACATGAAACATAAAAACATAAATAGAACAACAAAAGGACATCATACAGCATCATTTACATAATTATCCACATAAACAGGTGCAATAGCTTCCGATTGAGTAGCATCCAACCGAGCTTTAAAAACATTTAGTGGCATCAGATTGTTCAGTTTCCATTTAATTTGCAGACTATTCCAAGACAGAGGAGCTGCGCATCTAAAAGCTTTCTTCCCTAAGACAGTCCTAGCAGTTGGCACATTTAATAAAACCACAGCATTCGATCTCAGGCAGTAGCCACTTACAATTTTCTGTGAGATCAGGGAGCAGATGTAGGATGGAAGTTTCCCTAACATGGCTTTATATATAAAAATGTACCAGTGACTGAGCCTCCGTACAGTTAGTGAAAGCAAACCAGCCCTTGCATACAGTGATGGGTTAATGCTTTACAGTTTGTCACAAATCTCAGTGCACTGTGATACGCAGCATCTAACTTGACCAGGCAATTGGCAGGTGCATTCATATAGATCAAATCACCATAGTCCAGCACAGGTAAAAAGGTCACAGTGACTAGCCTTTTCCTGGCCTCAAGCGAGAAACAGGACTTGTTTCTGAAAAAGAAACCTAGCCTAACCCTCAGCTTTTTAAGCAGGTTATTGACATGAAGTTTAAAAGTGAGACAATCATCAAGCCAGATACCAAGGTATTTGTAACAGGTAACCACTTCAAGTTTTATTCCTTGCGTAGTTACAATATCTAAAACAGGCTCTGGTGTCTTTTTAGCTTTAGAAAAGAGCATTACCTTGGTTTTATCAACATTTTAAAAGAAGCTTTAGTTCAGAGAGCTGAGTCTGAATAATTTTAAAAACAGCCTGTAATTTAACACCAGCCTCCTTAATGGAGGGACCTGCACAGTACATCACGGTATCATCCGCATAAAAATGTAAAGTAGCTTCATCCACATTTTCACCTAAACTGAGAATAATGGACCTAAAACAGAACAGTTTGTATAAAACTCTTAATTTCCAGATTCCAGGGACCTCACACAATAGTTGTTGTTAGTTAATGAAGACCTGTGTTTTCAAGTTAGTGATTATGGAAATGTGTGTGGGCGAATTACCACAGAGTTTTTAAGTTTGTGGAGTTTATTTCTGTACCCGTCATCTAAAATGATTGCATTAATGTTATGTTTGTTTCTGATTGATATTTTAACCCTGCAGGTGATGTACTGTAGCAGCGAGTGTAGACAAGCTGCAGCAGATCAGTACCACAGGGCTCTGTGTTTGGGTCCCTCTCAGGAAGATCCAGACCATCCCATCAACAAGCTCAAAGATGCATGGAGGTCAGAGTTCGGTTTCATTCTAAACTCTTAAGTTAATAATGTATTTCACCTAAAAGGAGATGTGTTTTCTGTTCAGGAGTATGCATTATCCCCCTGAGACCTCCAGCATCATGCTAATAGCCAGAATGGTAGCAATAGTCAAACAGGTGAGTCTCTGATGACGTCTTTTAAACCCTTGGGTATGAATCATTAAGTGTTCAATTTAATCAGGAAGGGTATATTCCTTGTATTAGAATCCGAATACCTTGCTGTAAAAGGACATAACATCCCTATGTCATTTTGATTATTACCAGCCATAATAATTTGATATTTACTTTGCCCTGACAAATACAGATACAGAAAATACTCTGATAAACCTGCTGTATTGTAACTTCTCAGCACAATACAGCATTGAGTTTCTAAAGAGACAGATATGTACCTCAGTAGATGGGGGAGACCAAAACAGAGCCAAAAGGAGAGTGAACATGGACTTGTATTCATAATATTGTCATAAACCGGACTGTAAATGAATGCTAATGCTGCCCAGAGTGTATACAGACAACTATTTGCTGACTGTTCAGCATAACAACTTTATAAGTTCTGATTTGTTATTGTAATATTACACATGTGTAAGCAAGATATACTGTAATGCTCAACAACTACTCACAATTAACTACTTGAATAACTGAGTGATGCAATGTTTTTGCTAAATGTTTACTTGTTGTCCAGGCCAAGGACAAAGCGCAGTGGCAGAAGCTGTTTTCACACTTCTGCAGCCGGACAGGTAATGAGGAAGAGGAGATCGCCCATAAGCTCCTAGGAGAGAAATTCAGAGTAAGTGAGCATGAAGTGATTTCTGCTTGAAATATATGAAATTGTTGACGTGTAAAATGTATGAAGTCTGACAGTTAAAAGAGAATGTCATGCTTTTATGCTAATCGCAGTTGTTTACGGCTCAATAAGCATAGCGTGACAATGTTGCCCCTCTAGAGAGAAGTTTAACTCCCACTGGCCATCTTTGATGTATGTATTCTGTTGCGTAACATTTGTTTTTTTATCCAACATTGTTTCTATAGGGGCAGCTGGCCTTGTTACACAGCTTTTTTAAAGGAGCACTATACGATGACTATCTGAGTCGGGTAAGAAAGCACAGTTCAAATGTGACCACTGCAGGTTTTATACCAAAATACAATTATTTAGATAATTTATAGTTTTATATGTTGGGGTATGTTAAATGTCATAGAAAACTAAGAAATAAAATAAAATGTGTACAATTGAGAATATTGCAGAAGTTGATATTGGAAACAGTCAATAAGTAATCAAATATTAAAAGTTCTGTATATTATTTCTGTCATAATGCAGCAGCACATTACATCTTGAGCTTGTTTCTCAGGGAAGCTAATTAAAGAGGTTCAATACTGAGCTGACAGTTGTTTTGATTTTGTTGCCTTAGTCCCATTTAATGTTGCTCTACTTATTAAATCCATTTTGTATTGTATAAATGTCATCTGACACTTTCCTTGTCATTTTGCTATGTTATTGACTTCATGTTAATGTGCTGATCTAACTGGAAAGTGAAGTTAAATCTTTCAAACTCCTACAACTGACCCCCGACCTCTAACCTTTAGTATGAAAGGGGTCAAAGGAAATTATTGGATCTTTAGTATTGATCAGTAAAGATATGATTGTGTTGCAGTGGTTTACCCCCGAGGGTTTCCGCTCTCTCTTCGCTCTTGTGGGAACCAATGGACAAGGAATTGGCACGAGGTAAACACTCATCACTTATGTCCTTCAATTTCTTTCATCCTGGGCTCAATAGTAATTCTCTTTCTTTGTGCTCTGTTTTTCTACATGCAGCTCATTGAGTCAGTGGGTTCATGCTTGTGATGCAATTCAGCTTCCTGTCCAGCAGAAGGAGCAATTGGACTCTTTTATCGACCAGATGTACAAGGACATTGAGAAAGGTCACAGTTTTATCTCAGTCTTGCAGTATATTTTACGGTTGTAAATTGTGTCTCAATTGAGCAGTGTTTATTATTGTCTGTGTTGTCCCAATGCCATTGCTGTGATTATGTAACATGTGTTCAGACTCAGAGTTCAACAAATATGCATCATTTGTCTCTTCCCCTCTGTAGAAACGGGAGACTTTCTAAACTGTGAGGGCTCTGGACTCTTTCTGCTCCAAAGCTCATGTAAGTGCAGATGATATAACTGTTATTTAGTGGCTGTTGCTTCAGTTCAAAGATGCTGTTCCTCTTGTCAAGAGACCTACTTAATAACTTTGTGCCTCCTTGACCCTACAGGTAACCACAGCTGCATACCCAACGCAGAGGCCTCCTTTCCCGACAACAATTTCCTGCTTCAGCTCAGCGCCCTTAGTGACATCAACCCAGGAGAGGTCAGCTGACACGCCTGGGTTCGCAGTGATAAATTCTGGCCCGGAAATATACAAGTCAGAACATCCCCTCTCTAGCTTTGTTTGCTCCCTTGTCAGACGGTATTAGAAGGCTGAGACTTTGAGGATTGCAGTTGGTTTGTCAAGCTGTCACAAGGATTGAGAAGCCTTGCATCTGCGTGGCACAGTAATGTCAAAGCAGTCGTGCTATTTTCAAAGCAAAGCTCTCCTTTTGAACAGTCCCTAAGACAGGAGCGCATTGTGTACGATGTCACCAGTAGTAAGATAGAAGGCTGCAGCCACTTCCTGCATGAGGGAGAAAAAAGTGTTTTTCCTCTGCCATTTGAAATATACCAGTAGCTTATATATGGGACTGAACTGTAATTGTAAAGTCTCAAAAACGTCTGCTCATCTTGTTTATTTTTCTTCAATCCTTAGGAGATCTGCATCAGTTATTTGGACTGCTGTCAGCGGGACCGAAGCCGCCACAGCAGACATAAAACTCTGAGGTACAGTAAGCGTATTTAATCCCTCGGATGTAATCTTAATCAATGCAAAAAATCTCTTCCAGGCAATAATAGGGAGTTTTGAAGTAGAGATGCTAGGAGTATGATGGCAGGTCCTGTGCATACACATCAATCAACATGATATCAATCCATCTTTGAATTATAGCGCAACACTCAGGGCTAGTTGGTTCTGCTAGTCTCTGAGTGTTTGTCAGCATCCTGTGTTAATTCTCAGCATTGAAAAAGAGCAGTTGCTTGCTCACTTGGTGGTTTGAAAAAATCCCTGTACCGCACATCAAACCCACTAATTAAAAGTAATAAACATATGCTCTCTTGCTCCAGAGACTGTATTTTTGCTCTGGTGTGCAGAACCAGATTTTATGAACATGAGTGTGATTCCTTTCATCTATTGTTAGAGGTGCAACAGTGTGACCTGCGCTGCGTTCTCTTCCCAGGGAGAACTACCTGTTTGTCTGCTCGTGTCCAAAGTGTGTCTCCCAGATGGGTGAGCTGGACATGACATCAGAGGAGGAAGAAGAAGGCGAGGCAGATGGCGAAATGGAGGGGGATGAGATGGAAGATGAGATGACCGATGTCTGACTTGCCAATATTGTTCTCAGCCGCTCCCTTTCCGGCCACCATGAACCCTGGGGAATAAAAAAAACTGTTCAAACCACAATCTGCGTTTCACCACAACTGTCCGATTTGTGTGGGAACATGTCTTATTATCACCACATTGCACTCAGTATTTCTCAATTTTGAGAGGTCTGTCCCAGAAAAATGTAAATCAGTATATGGGCAGGGATAGGTTTATTGTTGTTTTTCACTCTACTGCAACACACTAGAGGGGTAACACTATGACTTTCAGCTATCTGGGTTATGGGTTGAACAGTTTATTGACTGGTAGGCCTTTGTAAATCCAATTAGCATGTAAGCCCGTTGTCAAAACTACATTAATTAAAAATAAATCTAGACAATTTCTGACTAAACCTAGCAATCAAAGGTTGAAAGCTTTAACCACAGAAAGGGCCCTTTTTAAAAACTGCTTTTCTGTTAGAAACAACAGTGACCATGTTGAGAATCAATCAATCAAAAACAGTAAAGTTGTTGGGCCAAAAAACCAAACAAAACAATAGGCTGAAAGACTCAAAAGCTCCCGAGAGCTGATGGAAGCTCTAGAGGTTTTTAAATGGTGTCTGTAGGTTTCACTAAGAGCAGGTTTTGAAGTATTACAGTTCTTATACTTGTGTCTGACCTTCAGGTCCACTAAAGCAAACTCAGAAAACTGTCATCCTTTCTTGTCCCTGACAACTCTTAAACAAGGCGAGGTGATTAAGCGAAGGTCAATGTGTTTTCCTCCACTTAAGAAGTTTCTTACATGACTATGCATTACTATATTGGAGAGGCTTTTTATTTATATTCCATTGTAATTACAGTCTTGTCATCGGGGAGGCATCCAGCCGGTGAAGTTTAGTTTAGTTTTCATCCATTGATCTTCTATGAGGTTAAGTTTAACCTTACTTCATGTATTGTGGAGACCTTGATTTGGAAATTGCTTTGTCAGTAACTGTTTGGCCTGTATTTCAAACCGCAGTTCCACATGAGTGAAATTGCCGCCGCCCACACATGAATCAATATTACAACAATGACTAATTACAAATCCCAATATTTTCAGTAACTCGACAAAGATTTGAAATATTGAATGACTAATCCTAATTTTCTCAGTTGGCATTAAGTGCAGTGGCACAGGAGAATGTGTAAGTGACAAATATATGATTTCAAATATTATAACAGGAGCATAGCAGTTGTCATTTTTACTACTCTGGCATAAACCATTGAAATTGGATGTCCGTTGAGTCATTTATCTGGTTAACACACCTCCTGCCTTTGCTACAGAAGACTTAACTGGTCAAATATTTGTTCGGTATTTGCATATTAAATACAAAGCCTTAATCAAATTGTCTTCCTCAAGGGGTTCGGGTTTAGACTAGTCATTGCATCTTTATGGCTTTTACTCTCCAGACTGCCTTGAGCTTGAGGCGTATTTAACATCTACATCTCTTATTTCATATCATTAATTAATCAGTGGGTTAAATTAGGTATTCTACTGTTGATGCCTGCCAGTCAATCTTTATTCATACTGACATTAAGTACTGGTCCTCTCAATAAAAGTATATTTGCAATGTTAAGAATATTCCTCTACATTACATTTAGCTGACCCCATTATGTTTTCTGAAGCGGATTCATTTCCTGTAGTGTGTTTTTGTGCACGTAAATGGTCTGCAAAGGCTAAAATCTGGGATTTTCTCCTGAAACGCCTCAATTTGACTCCTTTGTTTACTCGTACCATAATGACATCACTACGCAACACTCACGCTAATCACAACAGAGCCGGCCAGCTAACCAATCAGAGCAGACTGGGCTCTGGTTTCAGACAGAGGGTGAAAAGAGGTGCTGCAACACAGGCAGTATGAGAAAAATAAGGGCGAGGCACCAAATACAAACCTGAAAATGAGCATAATGGGGCCCCTTTAAGATACAAAGTCAGAAGAGCAAGAAACCTGCATCGACATCCGCTTCAAACAACAATCACTATTTTTCCCCAATGCCTCCAGTCATCTATGGCTGACATTTCTCCTTTCACCTCCTCAGTTAACTCCACTCCAATCCCCAGTTGTAGCTGTACTTGCATCTGATGCTAATTCATCCAGGATGCACAAAAGATAAAGCGGAAAACAATAACGCATCATGTCCATGAAAGGATTCACACCTGGGACCCTGCGTGGCGGGAGGCTGGACCTCTGGACAGATCCTCCAGTGGAAGCTCCCCCACTGTGTTGGCGCTTTTCCTCAGAAGCCGTGCCAGGATCGCTGCAGGAGCTCTGTAACTTCGGGAGGTTGACTTTGGTGTGGCAGCTCGGGTGGGACCAGATTTTGGCCTCTCCATCACGCAGCACGGCCTGTTAAAAGTACTGAAAGGGCAGAGGTCAAAGGGTCCACCCCGAGAGAAGTGGTCTACATAGAGGCTCAATTGAAGGATGGAGCAGGAAGTGAGGAAAGTGTTTGAGGAAAGGAGAAGGGAAGTTTGGAAGCATTAATTACTATGCAGAGAAAGAGTCCTTTATTCTGTCAAAACAAGTATGAAACGCCTCATATACATTTCAAAGACTACAATGACCTAAAAGAGGCGTATTACTGTCATGGCCATATGCAGATGATGGAGGGACAATACTTGACTCTATTTAAAAACATTAAAGAAGCCATATTTTCCCATTACCATACTTTTAATCTTGTATTATTCTTCAAGGCTGGACCACACAATGCTTTTTTCAAATGTGTCTTAAACCCATCAGCATTAGATGCTCTTGCAGTTTCCCTCCAAAAATCTATACAGTTGAATAAAATATGGTTTTCCGTCAGGCCCTGTAGAATGGGGAATATCTCAAGATGATATCTGGCCGAATGTGACCTCCTTACAGCTGACTTCATGGGAAAGTATTATAGGGTTGCAACCAAAATGAATACTAAATATAGATCATTGTATCAACTTTTCTATAGATTGGTGAGTCTATACAATTGCAGGGATTGGTCAAACATACCTCCAACAATCTCCTGAAGCATTGGATGTTGCGTCTTGTATTTTCCAAAAAACAGCCCAAAATCTGTTGTTCAATAAAAGAAAAAAAAGAAAATCTTCACGTTAAGAGAAACTAGGAATAGAGAGCAGTTAGTTTTTGATTCATGCTTGAGTTAATTAAGCATAATTCATTTTCTGACTCACTACTTTGTTGATTAATTATTTCAGCTAAAAACTTATACATAACTTTTATCACAATGTTTGCAACCCCATCTATTAAATGCTATTCAAATCATTTCTACAAATGAAATGTCCTTGTTTCCTTGCTTTCTTTAATACCGTTTGTACTCTTGCTGTTTTAACAATGTTTTAAAAAAAGTATTCAGTTTTTTACCTAACATATTCTAAATGATTTTAACGCGTGATAGAAATAATTTAGGCACGTAGTTTTATCCTATCATACTTTACTCTGTCCGTCTTTAACATTTCCAGCAACCTGCTGTTGATTTATCCGCCCGGGTGAAAGTTGAACTGTGTTGTTATGACTGCTCGTGTGAAAGTTGTCGATCTATTTCACATTGCATGCTCCAAGTGGGTAAACTATGAAATTAAAGCTGGTTTTTAGACTCAAGCAAACTGAAAACAGGCCCCATATGGAAACAATCTCCAGCCTTAGCTCTGTCCAGATTGGTTACCACAACGCATACCATTGCTACCTTGGAGGGCCACTCCAGAACCACAGTGATGAACGACTGCTTCATGTGTAATTAGCCGACCTGAAGTAAGGTTATTGCACTTTAGCTCACCCTGCATAAAAATAAACAAGAGCGAGGAATACAGTTTGAGAACACTAACATGGCTCCTGAGTGACCCACTGGCTTTGATCAATGTTTGAGATTTCTGCGGTTCACTTCTGCTGAAATCATTTCCTCTGTGAAAATCAAAATTATACAAATTGTCAACAGTACTGACCAGAAACACTGTGGGCTGCCCAATAACATCACATTCATCTTCAGGGAAAAATGTTTAAGACCTCAATGGCGTCATATAAATCTTGCAGTGCGTCCTGAGCCAGTGGGATGGAACATGAAGAATTGAGCTGTGAATCATCCAAACAGAGGCTTTAGCATCACAAATACAACAACAGGGTCTACAGTAACACTAACACCATGTTTGTGACGGAGGACTCAAGAGAAATCTGCTATTTGTGATACCTGTTTTTGTGAACAGTTTCTCTCTTTTGGTTCCTGTGACACAATCAGGTGCTTCTTTGTTGAGAGTGTCGGAGCAAAAAGGAAGAATTTCTGCAAACAGAAAAAAACATTATGGATGGTTATAGTTGTCAACTACAATTGTAATCCATACAATGTTTTACACCCTCAGGATGAACTGTTATATATTTTCTGATCAATAATCAGGTCATAATTAAGAAAAAAATGTATACACTGTACTGCATCATTACAAACATCAAAAGACGAAAAATAAACAATCAAAATCTGATAAGCAGTAATGTGTTTACCCACTGAAGTACTGAAGAACATGAAAGCGACTGCTTAGCTCAAGCATTTTCCTAGCCGTTTTATGCAAACACAAGGTATGCAAATTTGAACAGACAAGGACTCTATGGCTGCTGTGAATTAGCAAGAATCTGGTGATATGTGATGTATCATAAAAGGCCTATAGAGAGTGATTTTATGATCAAGGCCACATGAAGTGCTTTTTTAAATCTTATTTTAGATTGACTGCCATAGTAGCCTTTTCTGTAGAGAACACATAGCAATACAGCGTACATCAAATCAAACACAATGCTTTTAATGTAAAGGTTTAATCTACATTTTATTACAGTCTTAACATAAAAAATCAAAGCAAGCCTTTTTGTGCAATCTGAGCCTCTGACCATGAATGCAATACCCCAAAACATAACATTGCAACACTCAAATGCAGGGATATTACACCCCATTGTGTCCGAATTATTTTGTTAGAACATTTTCCAAGAACAACTCAGTAGCTGTGGGTTTTCCATTCCTGCCTGGATAGCGTAGTTCTTTTTTCTTCCCTCCCTCAGCACAGATTTTTAGACCCCCAGGATGTGTACATTTACT